CGACGACGACGATGCTGCGCTGCGGCCTGGCCTGCGAGCGCTGCCGGTGGATTCTGCCGCTGCTGCTGCTCAGCGCCATCGCCTTCGACATCATCGCGCTGGCCGGCCGCGGCTGGCTGCAGTCGAACACCCACATCCAGACGTCCTCGCTGTGGTGGCGATGCTTCGAGGAGGGCGGCGGCAGCGGCTCCTACGACCAGGGCTGCCAGAGCCTCATGGAGTACGGTGAGTGGCCGCCGCCGGGAAGCCCTCGGGCCCTAACGGGGGTCGGGGTGCCCACGGCCCACTCCACCCCACGGCCCGCGGCTCTGGCATTCGAGTGGAGCCACGCGCAGGCAGTAGCTTTGGGGGGCCTGAGAACGGATGGGGGCGGCCCTGGCTTTCAATCCGAGAACCTCCCCGGTTACCCGCACACAGCGATTCCAGGCTGAGCCAGGGGTGTTCCTGCAGGAGATCTCCCGAAATGTCTATCAGGCCCCCCTCCCCTGGCACGTTCTTATGATAACCACTGCGAGCCCAGCGTGTCCTCCTGAGTGGGGGTGGAAGCACCCTCCCCGGCCCCCTCCGCCGAAGAACCCCTTACAGGCCGGGTGTGCACAAGTTCCGTCCGTAGATTCTTCGGTGTCTGACCTGTGGAACGAGCTCTAGTCACCCTTTGCGGTGGGCATGTGGCTCAGGCAGGGTATATGCTGTTTAAAATATTTATTTTTTAACCGATTTGGAATTGGGGATTAAAAACAGAAGAAAGCCACGCCGGGGTTGGAGGGAAGTGAAGCCAAGCTGGCTGTGGGGTGTATTATTTAGTTTAGTGCTTTAGGTGGAGGCTTCCACTTTCCCAGCCTGGAGGAGGAAGCTGGCTGCTTAGCTTGTGGTTGTTTGAAAAAGGCATTTTCCTTCACCAGGTCATTCCCGCCCCCACCTTATGGTAGATTTGAGTAACAGCCACAAGAAGGTGTAGGGAGACACTCCAACATGGAAGGCCGGAGAAGGCTTTACTAACCGAGAAAGCAAGTGACCCTGTTTTTAACCATTGGTGGAATCCTTTTCCCCCACCCCACCCCCACCTAGCCCACAAGCTGCTAAGAAAATGGTATTTGTGATTTCCGGGGCCATGTGCCAGAGGCCTTGGCCTGGTATCTTTGGAAGTTCCCTGGATGAACTTTCACTGAGAAAGAGAATCGCCCACATTAGGAGGCAATAAAACTGAAAGATAGCAGGGAATTCCTGATTTCCCTGCAGTTTGTGTTTTTCCATCTCTGAGAACCCGCACACAAATACTATGTCTCTGAGTCTGTATTGTTCCAAGTCATTTAGGTGTTAAGAAGGAATTCATGACTTTGAAATAATATATCTTCTAGTTCAGAGGCATTTGAACTCAGTTTCTTGGGGGGCTGGGTGTGGGAGGGATTTCACAGGCCTGCTTGTGGGGTTTGTAAACAGACTTTACTAGTTATATTTCACTTCAAAGTCCCTTCAAGTCCTAAAGAATACTCGGTAAGCCTGCACACAGGAAGCCAGCCAGCCTCTGCGGGGCGGTGGAATCTTGCTGGGACATGATCTGAGCTGACAAGCTCTGGCAGAGATGGCCCTGCAAGGAACATGCACAACACTGTTGTGTTGTGTTCCTTGGCAGTGAGCTCACCTTTCAGGGTGTGGTCTTTTCCACCTCAGACTCATCAACTACTCTGTAAGCAGGTTTTGTTTCTAGTTTGTTTAATTAGAAGACTGAAGTATTATCTTTATACATTAAAAAAATTATCCAGTATACAGTTGTTTTGGATTTGCTATAGAAATCAGCCTTTTAGGGGGAAAACCCCTCCGTTTTCCAAGAGGATCTTGAAAAATATATTAGCACCTTTTGTGTGTGTGTGCTGGTACTGGGGCATGAATTCAGGGTTTAGCCCTGTCTTTTTGCTTTATTTTTTTTTTTTGCTCACAACTGGTGCTCTATCACTTGAGCCACAGCTCTACTTCTGGCTTGTTGGTGGTTAGTTGGAGATAAAGAGTCTCATGGACTTTCCTGCCCTGTCTGGCTTTGAATCTCAGTCTTCAGATCTCAACCTCCTGAGTAGCTAGGGTTACAGGCATGAGCCCCCAGCCCCTAGTGAGATTAGCACTTTTATGAAGTAGCCTTTGATATCTGCCAATCCCTGTGGCTTTGACATCAGTTCAGTTAGTGTTACTTTCAAAGATGGTTGTTGCATACTTGTAGATTGGCTCCTACTCAAGACCCAGATTCAAATTGGGATCTGCTGTGAGAGGGTGGTATGGGAAGGAGACAGTAGATAGGACATGCCCAAAGAGGCCCATTCCCACCATCGTAGCCAAGGAAAGTAGAGGTGCCGCGTCTTCTGCCCACCACTGCATGGACCAGTGGCTACTTTTGCCATAGGCATTTAGAAAACGTGTACTCCTGCACTCTGAAGTGACTTCCTGGGCACCTCTATAGATTGATTTTCAGATAGCATCGGGAAAGCCTTACCGAGAACAGCATGTTTACACCAGGTCATCCTGTGTCGAAAAGCAATAAGTGATTTTCCACCCTTGCACATACACACAGCCACACATTTGCACAATCACACAGCCGTGGGGAGGGGGGAGTGAGGCAGAGATGGCACTGATCAAATTCATATCTCAGTAGAGAGAATTAACGGGCATTTATTTTTAAGAGACTTCTTGATGCATACTTAGAAATAAATATTTGGACTTTTCACTGTTAACTATTAAGAAAGTAGACCTTTCATTACAAAATATCTGATCACATTTTTATTAGGTATTATATGACTATGTTCATTTTGATAGTAAAGGCAGATTATTTTTGGAAAGTATTGATATAATTATTAAGATTGATTTATACAGGTAAATAGTTTCTTAGAATTACATATGTAGAAAAAGCAAATATTATATTTACTATTATTGATAGTTTTTAAGAATTTTAGATAACCAACCCATCTCTTTTCATTTAACCTCTTAAACAACCCAAATTCAACTGTCAGTATTTTCTTTTATGCGATTGTAGCAGCAAAATTAACAGGGAAATGTCCAGACACTGGTTTGAGATTTTTTTTTCTTATTTTTTGCATTTATGTTTGTCAAGATGGAAATGATGATCTATTTATGACTCAAATGATCATCTAAGTTTCACCTGTAAGGAAAGCGCAGATTAAATTGGAATGAGCATTCACAAATACTATTTTTTTATACTGTCAGCACCTTCTTTTCTAGTTTGAAAACTGAATTCATCAAGCAGATCTCTTAAGCACCAGTGTGTGAATTTCAAATTATGGGAGAATGGGATTGAGATTTTTAGCACTAGGAGGAAAAGAAAGAAAGTGGGACATTGGGGCCTGAAACATTAAGATTCATGGAGCCCCCGCTTTTCTGAAGGCACCCTTTGAGCTTACGCTGGTTGCAGTGTTTACTATATAGACAATAACACTCATCTCTTGATGAGTCAAAGCACCAGAGAATTGGGTGAAATACTTAGATCATAAAGTCCTGTGCTTCTTAAACGTACAGGAAGTCGCTGAGCACGGGCTACTCAGGAGGCTGAGGTCTGAGGATCAAGGTTCAGAGGCAACCTGGGCAAGAAAGACTCAATGAGTTTCGTATCTCCAGTTAACCATTACACCAAAAAACTGGAAATGGAGCTGTTGCTCAAGTGGTAGAGTATGAAACTTGAGCAAAAAAAGCTCAGGGACAGCACACAGGACCTGAGGTCAAGCCCTGAAAAAAGAAGCCCCCCCAAAAAAAAAATAAATACAAGAAGAGAGAAAAATGAGTACGAAGTCAAATTCAACTTAAAAGACTAATTTTGAGATGAATGCTCTTTTGGCTTTTATAGGTTGTAGAGGTGGGGTGAGACAGTAAAATTCTTTATTTTATGTATTAGACAGTAGTCAATAGACTACTCTTCTTGTCTGCATGTGTATGTGTATTCACATCCCTGTACAGCAAATTGAAAAGCTGGCTGCTCTGTTGATCTAATAACTTAAGGGTATGTGTTGACTTATAAGATCTAGAAGCCTGGTCATCAGTGACGTAGGGTGGTCTATTGCACATTTGCAGTGGTTAGCAGAGTGTTGATCCCTTTCTAGGCACCTGAAATGGCATTGTTCTGCGAAGCGGGGAAACTCTGAAGTGTTAGAACTGGAAAGGAATGAAAGAATATGGAGTCCAAGCTTTCACCCAACTCCTTCCTACTTCACGAATAGCCCTGTGACAGTCAGGCCCTTTGATTTGTCAACTCATTCCCCCTTGGGCCCCCCTGCTTTCCTTCTCTAGCACCTCTCTCTCGCACACTAAGCTGGGCTGCAGTATGCTTCCTTGTCATCCCTACTTTCCATCTTCCTGTCACCTGACAGCTGTCAGGCTGAATTCATCTCTAGTTACTTGTCTTCACCTCCTCCTTGACCTGTGTAGTTTCCCCACTCGTGAATCAGGTACCCAAAGACCTCGTAAAGGTCAAGTGCAGGAACTGTATAAAATCACAGTGCGAACAGGTCCCTGCAGGGCTCTGCTGGAGAAAATGTGGAGCATGTAAGGAATCTCACACCAGTTCAGACATTCTCCCTGTGGCTCTGCTGCCATTGCTGGGCCAAGCCCTCCCTCAGAGCCTTCCAGAACTTCTCAGGCTTCTTCCTCTGCGGATCCTTGTAGGGGTAATCTCTGAAGCTTTGTTCCTCCAGGGCCATCAGCATAAGGGGAGAGGTGTGGATGCACCCACAGAGTTGGGATCTGCACGGTAACAAGTTCTTCAGGAGGTTTGCGAGAGCTTTGGAGTTTCCAAACCGCTGGCCAGGTTCCTTGAAGACTGCATCCTTATTGAATATGCAAAGCTGTTTTTATTAATATGATAGTCTCCCTTGCCTATATGTTTCTAGGTAGGATCTTTTATCTTGGAACTCTAGTTTTATCCAAATAGGGCATAGATCACCTTAGAGAAACTAAGGTCATGTTGTTACATGAATTGTTCTGGAAAGGGACTGAACCCTAGCCTACTCTCTGTTCCCAGCACAGAGCAAGGGAGTGGGTAAGCCGGTTAACTGGTTTAATCTGTTTGGTGCTGATATGTTAAACTCCAGAAGAATATAGGCTGACTATGGAAAGAGGCACTAACTTTGGGCAAAATTTTGGTGACATTCTCCAAGATATTTACCAGCACATTAAGAATATTAAGAGTATTAGTGATGCTTTCTTTATCTTAAGATAAAAGTTCATTTTTTTCATGAGTTTCCATTGATTATTTCCCTCAAGCTAGAATTTATTTGTACTTTTCTCTTTCTCTTTTCCTATCCAGTCATCCTTACTGGTCTTTCCCTATTCACTTGGTCCCATTGTGTTTTCTGTGTCATTTCTGAACAAAAGAGGCCATGAGAACACAAGGCCATGAGATCCGTGCTCAGACCTGGTGCGTTCCCTCTCATCCATTCAAACCAGGCAGTCCCTGCCAGGCGGAGGCAAAGACTGTCCCAGCACTCATCAGTTAAGATCTGTAGAGCTGTACCAAGATTAAGGCCTAAATGATAGTTAAGTGACTCAGTATGGGTGTTTCTGGCTGTACTGAGCAGGTTTTACATGTCTCACAAGCAAGACAACCTTTCTAAAGAGGAAAAGTTGCTTCATTTTTTTCAGTTAGATTTTCTTTGGACTCAGCATTTCAAATAAGCAAGACACTAACCAATCTGACTCAGTGCTCTTGAGATGGTCCGTGTGATAGGTATGCTCACCTGTTGGCGTAAGGTTAGGTGAACTGGCTTACTGTTTGTTTTACTCAAGTCCTTCCAAGTCCTGGCAACTAAGCATAGATTATATTTCAGCTACAATGTGAGAGGAAGTGTTAATAGTAATCATCTGTGTTCATTTTCCTCAAGGGAGCAGAATTAATATATCTCTTTATAGAGCATTGTGTGTAATTTACTAGCTAGACTTCTAAAACATTAATATGTAATTATAAAAGTCTGGCTATTGAACTATGTTCCTAGTTAAGCTTTTGTTATTTTTATTGAGAAATTACATTCCGCTCTGCAAGGCACTTTTGTTCTGTGTGAGTTCTTCTGCATGCCTTTGTAAATAGGCTGCCCTTTGTGTGTGGTGTGTGTGTGTGTGTGTGTGTGTGTGTGTGTGTGTGTGTGTAGGTTTTTCCATTCAAGGCTGATGCTTTACCACTTTTGTGTGGTGTGTGTGTGTGTGTGTGTGTGTGTGTGTGTGTGTGTGTGTGTAGGTTTTTCCATTCAAGGCTGATGCTTTACCACTTGACCCACACTTGTAAACACATAAAAGCGAAGTCAGTTTTTCCTTCTTTGAATTTAATGATTGGACTTACCTGAGATTTATGATGGACACTTGTCATGAAAGGTAGAGTGTGAAACTGTAATTGAGGTGGGTCACTCACTGGAAGTCTTTTTTGGTAGAAGTGCGTACCTTGTAAGGAGACCGATCATCTCACTTAGTTATCCTCAGACTTGAGTGTGGATACAAGAGCACGGTGCCACAAATGTGCAGATTCTCAGCAATACATCCAAAAACTGGTTCAGTGACGGAGAGAGAACTTGTAGTAACACTGCTCACCATGACACTGTGGTTGATGGCTTATGTTGTGAGAAGGCCTTGTTAATTAACACCTTTTCCAATGCACGATCGCTTCTCTGTTTAAAATTCCCTGAAGAACAAAAGGGAGACAAGAGACATTATATTATAGTTAACAGTTTTAATGTATTCATGTCTGGGTGTGTGTGTGTATGTGTGTGTATGTGCACATGCCAGTACCAGGACTTAGCTTTTTCACTCAGGGCTGTTCCCTGCCCCTTGAGCCACAGTTGCACTTCCAGCTTTTTGGTGGTTCATGGAAGATAAGAGTCTCATAGACTTTCCTGCCTGGGCTGGCTTTGCCCAGTGATCATCAGACCTCAGTCTCCCAAGTAGCCATGATAACTGACACCCAGCTCTTGTTATAACATATAGAATTCCTATTTCAACCTGTCTCTCACATCTCTCATTGAAGATTTGGAAGGTAACAGACAGTGCTATAGATACACAGGTGGACCCAGTCATGTAGCTCCTTACCACTCCTGACTGGAAGTAATCTGTGGGAAAACATAATATTCCTGAGATACATAAATGTTTCATGTCTTAACATCTGCGATGCCCCGGCCATTCCTGCCACAGAGAAAGCCCTGGAGAAGTGAATGGAAGCTGAAGCCAGGTCTGTCTGTAGGAGGCAAAAGTTGCAAAGTCCCTTGGCTGAGGAGGGGCCTTGTGGCTGTAGAATGGAAAGGGATGCAAACCTGACGGTTTTCACACAGGTATGTGTCCTCACAGTCACCTTGCAACAAGGCACTCAGCCTGAGTGAACAGATAGGGAGACTGACACTGTGTCCGACACGGGGCAGAGTGGCAGGGTTCATCTCCCTCTGAGTTCCTGCTCTTCTGGTGTCACGTTACTCATGTTTTGTTTGTCATGTTTTGTTTCCGTTGGCCACTCACGTGATGTGGATCAACTGAGGATATTGTCAACCTGCTGTGTGTTTTGGCCTACTGAAGTAAAACTGGGGCAGGGCAAGGGGCACAGGACTCTTTTGTTCCAAGGCAATAAAGAATAACACATTCAAGAACATGTTCATTTCCAAGAGCAAATGAATAGATAAATAAAATATGAAATATCATCAAGCCATGGGGAGGAATGAAATAGTGATTCATGGAATAAATGGATGAGCCTTAGAACCACTCTGCTCAGTGAAAGAAGCCCATCACAGAATGTCACGTAGTGTATAACTTTACTCAAGTGAAATCACCCGTGTCTAGAACAGGCAAACTTAGAGAGACAAAAAGGCAGTTAGTGCTTTTTAGAGGCTGGAGACAGGAGGGACTGCTCAGGAAGTTAGAATCTGATGGCTTTCTTTTGGGGGGGTGATTAAGGTGTTCTACAATTGTTAGTGGTGATGGTTGCATAGTCCTTTGGCTATAGCAAAACCACAGACTTGTGCACTCTAAGAGGGTACACTTTAAAGAATATAAACTACATTTATTTATTTAAAAATGGAAGTGGCGCTGTGGCTCAAGTGGTAGAGTGCTCACCTTGAGCTGAGGGACAGCACCCAGGCCCAGAGTTTAAGCCCCACAACTGACAAAAACAAAACAAAACAAAAAATCAAACCACAACAACAAAAAAACAAGGTGGTTTGGATTCAGACAGGCTAGAAATCAATCTGTCAAAAACACTTACCAGAAGTGATGCTGTGGCTCAAGTGGTAGACCACTTGCCCTTGAGCTGAAGAGCTCAGGGATAGTGCCCAGGCCCAGAATTCAAGCCCCATGACTGACAAAAAACAAAACAAAATGAAACAAAACAAAGCAAAACAGCAACAACAAGAAACATGTACCAACTATGTGGCCCTGGACAGATTGTCTGAACTCTCAAAATCTAAGCCTCACTTCTAAGTTAAAAATGATAATAGCATACACTCAAAGAAGTCATTGTGAGGGCTGGGAATGTGGCTTAGTGGTAGAGTGCTTACCTTGTGTATGTGAAGCCCTGGGTTCCATTCATCAGTACCACATAAACAGAAAAGGCCAGAAGTGGTGCTGTGGCTCAAATGGCAGAGTGCTAGCCTTGAGCAAAAGAAGCTCAAGGACAATGCCCAGGCCCTGAGTTCAAGCCCCATGATTGGCAAAAAAAGAAAAAAAAAGTCATTGTGAGGATTCAGAATGTGCCCTAACTGGTCATTATGACCTCTGAAGACAGGGCTGGGGATGACAAGATCAGAGTCTGGATGACAGGAATTCCTGGATGGTTTGTGTGTGCATCATGTGTCTCCCTGTCTGCTCAGATGAAAAGGGGAATGGCGAGGGACTGGCGGGGTGGGGTGGCGTGGGAGCCAGAGAGGTGAAGAGCTTCCAACTTGGAACTCACTTTTCTGACTCACCCCAGATCTTTGTTAGGGCAAAGATCAATAATTAAGAATTCTTGTCCAATAAATGGAATACTTCAGGAGTGAAAGTTGAGGAAGAAATTTAGAAAGGTTGTTTTCTACCAAACTTACAGTCATAGTTGCTTCCCTCCAATTAAAGTATTCTAGTTAGCACCTCTGCTTAGTAGTACATATATATCTTCAGTGGTGATTTTGCTTCAAGCCAATATGATATGATACAAAGATCCTTTGAAGACATTGAAAACATTTCCCAAAGCGATTGTAATTTGAGTTGGTCAGTACCAAGAGGGTTTATTATGAACGTGCTAGAGTAGAACCAGGATGAATCTTTTTTTTTTTTTTTTGGTTGGTCATGGGGTCTGAATTCTGGACATGGGCTCTGTCCCTCAGCTCTTCAGCTCAAGGCTAGCCCTCTACCACTTGAGCCATAGCACCATTTCCGGCTTTTTTGGCTTATGTGGTGCTGAGGAATCGAACCCAGGGCCTCATGCCTGCAAGGCAAGCACTCTACCCCTGAGCTGCCTTCCCAGCCCTGAATCTTTTAAATATACCTATTTGTGTGGCAAGTTTATTGTAAGAGAAACATCCCTGAATTTGTCTATTCATAAAAATCTTTCCTTGAAATGTGAAGACATTTATGTACCAAAAAAGTCCCAAATAACTATCCAAATTTAACTAGTAAATAAAAAATCAAACCTTACTGGTATTTGAGCGATTCCTTAGTGGGCCTACTTTATCAAGGTGTGACCTTTTGTCTTGCAGCGTGGGGAAGAGCAGCGGCTGCCACACTCTTCTGTGGCTTCATCATCCTGTGCATCTGCTTCATCCTCTCCTTCTTTGCCCTCTGTGGACCTCAAATGCTCGTCTTCCTGAGGGTGATTGGAGGCCTCCTGGCCCTGGCTGGTAAGACTGGTGACAGCCATTCATTTTCCTTTGTAGAGCAGTATTCCCTCCACTCAGAAGATGCGTGGCTGTTACACATTCCAATGTGTTCTGGAAATGGGTTACTAAGAGTAGAAGCATCAGAGGACAGGTGTGATGTCGATCTCCCTTCCTCCTGTGTCTCAGGGTCCTGAAATCCCTATTCAGGTGACAAGGGTTCTCCTGCCCATCCATTCTTTTGTAGGTGGCTCTGTCTACTGACAGATACTCAGAGAACCAGAGTTGGTCCTTAAAGTGCAGTGGTCTCCACAGTTGTCCCCAGCTGTGACTTCCTGTGGTCACCGTTGCTGAGGGGGAACTGAGGATCCCTGAACTGTTGAGTTTTGTCCTCTTTTGAAGTGGTGTGTCATGAAAAACATCTCTGCCGGGGGTTAGAGAGTACCAGACCTGGAACCTGCAGCATGGAACTGTGACTCAGACATAAGTAATGTGAAGAAATCTAGTCATGCACGTAGGCAGGGCTCAGAGTAAACTTTGTCTGGTGGTATTAGAGTTTTAACTTAGGGCATCCTCCTTGCTCCACTATCCCTGCCACTTAAGCCAACCCTCCCGCTCTGCTTTTCACTGTTTATTTTGGAGATGGAGTCCTGTGGACTTCCATGCCTGGGTTGGCTTTGAGCAACAATCCTGTAGATCTCAGCCTTCTGAGTACTTAGGATTGCAAGGATGAGCCACAGATGCCTGATACAGAATGAACCTTTTTTAGTGGAGCAAAAACAGTAGGAATTTAGGCTCAGGAAATATGCTGCTCCTATGCACTTAAAAAATTTTAAAAATGCTTCTTGAATAATATTTTAAAGTCAGAAATGACTGGAATTATGAAAGACATGAAGATTTCTTTTCTGTGTGTGTGCATGCACGCGTCAGTACTCAGATTTGAGCTCAGGGCCTGGGCTTTTTCCTTTTGTTTTTTCACTTAAGGCTGGCACTCTACCTCTTGAGCCGTATCTTCACTTTTTGTGATTAATTGGACTGTACTTTCTTGTCCAGTCTGGCTTTGAGCCTTGATCCTCAGATCTTAGTCTCATGAGAATAGCTAGGATTATAAGCCTGAGCAGGCTTCAGGTTCTTTTTGGATTTTTATACTTCCAATTTGGGAGACCTTATCACAGAAACACACTCAATCCTTTCCCATATCTTCAAAGACTAGAGGGAATGGGCTTAAATGATCAGGAGAAAGAGCACACTCGGCTACGAACCTTTGTTGAAGAAGAATCATGCCCATACATGTCCATGTCCACTGCCAGATATATACTGAAAAGAAGCAAAAGCAGGCCCCTGAACCCATATTTCTCACTCCTACCTGTTGTTACTGTGTATTTCTTCATGAATTCATTTGCTGAGCCTTTTTTTTTTTCTTCCTTTAGCTGTGTTTCAGATCATTTCCCTGGTCATCTACCCCGTGAAGTACACCCAAACCTTCAGCCTTCACGCCAACCCTTCCGTGCTTTACATCTATAATTGGGCCTATGGCTTTGGGTGGGCGGCCACGATCATTCTGATTGGTTGTTCCTTTTTCTTCTGCTGTCTCCCCAACTATGAGGATGACCTGCTGGGCAATGCCAAGCCCAGGTACTTCTACACCTCTGCCTGATGTGGAAGCCGAGCTGCGCATGCCCTGCTGGAGATCAGGGTCCGGAGTGGAACGTCTCAGGCCCTGTGGAACCTAGGCTTTGGCAGTGCTCTAGTCAAAAGGCTAAAAGAATCTGGGAGAAAATATTTCTTAAATAGTGTTATAGCTCCAAATCCATCTTTTATATCTATTTTTGTGGAGTTAAAAGACTTTTTTTTTGGCGAGTTCTTTATAATATGCCAATCTTTCCTTATGTTTAAACTATAGCCTTTATAATGCATTTGTCAAAGAATATGGACATGTAACATAATAAGAAACAAGAGGGTTTCCAAAATTGAATAGATTGGACTGTTTGTATTAAGGGTTATGGAAAGACAGTGACCAAACATCCCAAAATTAATTAATGTAGAACATAAAATAATATGTTTTCAAGTCTTCAGCTATATGAAGAAGCAAAATTGCTCCCTAAATACCGTTTATGAGAATTTCAAATTCCTAGTGGGAAGTTGCTTTTTTTTGCGCTAAGCTGACATGGCTATGGCACAGAATTTCTTTCCATGGCCGTAGGGGATTGCAGTGGTAAGGTCTCTTACAGTGGTGAAATGCTAAGATAAAATGGTCTCTTTTTAAGTAGCTTCTAGGTTCCGGTGTGGGGAAATGCTGTATTAACAAATCTGTACTATTTGTGTCTGTGTGTTCAGGACCAGTGTAGACTGGGAAGATGGATGGGTGGGTGTGAGGATGCCATCTAGTCAAGCGTTAGGAAAATCATTACGATCACAAAAGTGATAGTACAGCTGAAGAAAACAATTGCTTGAAGCCTTTAGCTCAGGCATAACCAGGCTCCAGTCATTATAGACACAGCTCTGACACAGAAACCTAAACAGAGTTCAAAACCTGGTCTGCCCTGTTATACTGAAAGCAGACTGAAAGTATCTGCCCTAAGACACATAATAGAACAGTACAGGGAATCGTAGTGTCTCTGAATATGTATTGGATGGGTTATTATTATTTTTTTTACCATTTATACTGACATAATGAAAACCAATTGTTTTCATATATCAAATGATTATTTTGTAAGTTGCAGCATAAGCAATTGTAGTTTTCATTATGTGGATTTTTTTTTTCGCCCAATAAACTAAGTATTCAAATCTTGGTGTTTATTTTGTAGTTCTTTTGTTGTTAATTTTCTTTTCTGGGGAAGGGAATGAAAAAAAGTGTTTGAGAGTGGGTGAGAAGACAAAATGAAGTTGCTTTTTTCAGATTTAAGAGTCTTGCTTTTTTTCTTTTTTTAGGTGGTTAGTTAGAAGTTTTGAATTCTGTTATTTTACTTTGCATTTTTTTTCTCCATGACAACTGTGTGCTCAGATATCAAACAATATCTATCCAGCAGGGCCAACAGAGGTGCAGACTAAGAGATTTCTGGTAGGTTCAGACACCTAATGAGGTTGAGATAAAGGTTTATCTCTCTGTTTTCTGGTCATCCCTGTGGTGGAGGTAGCAGCCTTTACTTCTTTTCTCTGCCCACATACCAATTCATTTGGCTGTAAGTGAATCTTACTATGGGCTAAAATTGAGGAAGGGCTGCAGAGTGGCAGGTGGATATGTGGAGGGAGGGAGTTCTCCAAGCTTTTGGCTGGTTGCTCCTTGGCAGTTAGTTTGCCTTGCACACCTTTCAAAATGCAGGTAAATCCATGTTTATTGTAAATTTAAAGGAGTATAATCTGAATGATGGTGTGTGTGTGTGTGTATGTGTGTATACATGCACGCATGGGTGAGTGTTCATGTGTGTGTGTGTCACTTGGCTTTTTTGTTCTCACTTGGCTTTTTTGTTCAATTCTGGTGCTCTACCACCTGACTTACGCCTTCACTTTTGGCTCTTTGCTGGTTAACGGAGAGTCGCATGGACTTTTCTGCGCTGTCTTCAAACAACAATCTTCAGATCTCAGCCTTCTGAGTAGCTAGAATTATAGCCGTAAGCCACTGGCATCCAGCTTCTGAATGATTATTTCCACTTTAAAAAAAAATCCAACTATTTAGTGACTGGTAGAGGATTGGTGGTGGTAATTAACAGTGTTAAAACTACCACTTGTGCTTGCACTGGTGGCTCATGCCTGCAATCCTAGATACTCAGGAGGCCAAAATCTGAGGCGTGAGGTTCAAAGCCAGCCTGGGCAGGAAAGTCAGTGAGACTCTGGTCTCCATTTAGCCACCAGAAAATCAAAAGTGGAGCTGTGGCTCAAAGTGGTAGAGTGCTAGCCTTGAGCAAAAGAGCTCAGAGACACCCCTGAGTTCAAGTTCCATGATAAAAAAAATCCAAAAAAGAAACCCTTACCATTGCCAAAATAATAGCACAACTATTTTAAGAAGAAAATGGGCATCTAGAGATTAAGAAACTTGGTCCTTATGTACAAAAATGGCTCAGATTACAAACTTCTCCATGGCATAAAATTTGTCTTTGAATTCTTGTCCAACTTTCTACTTCCCCTCCACAGTCAATGACATGACATCCTAATGGTGCCCACAGGAAACATACAGGAAACAACTCCCTGGAGTCTGAGCTGTGGGAAAGGAAGGTTTGCATACACTGAGTATATGTTTTACTAAAATGTTTCATTATTTTCAACCCCATTCTAGAGTAGAGATTTTCCATTCCTTGTAGATGCTGCTTACCAGGAAGATATTTTAATGCAGTAAACCCAGGGAAAATTCCAGAGAATTCTAGAAGGCAATAAAGAACTTGAAGAAGAAACCACTGCAAGCTTAACAGTACATTGCATGAGATTTCCCACAGTTAAGCTGAGATTGTTTTTGGTTCTTTAATTATGCTGAGCTCCCGCCCTTTAAATGGGCAGTTCTAGGTTCCCAAACAATTATCTCATGCTCACACTATTAGTTGTCAGGTATGTGAAGTACCACTTATTGTTGAGTGTAACAAAGAAGTGCTATGTCCAGGTGTTTCTGTTATCACCCAGGTAGTTGTGGAGGGTAATTACGTTTTGCTTCAGTATCGTACTGTAGGACCTTGTACTGAAGGAGAATGAGCCATAAAATTCTATCGTCTTTCCTGTTTATAAAGGAGATGAATGAAATAGACAACATGACCTTTCCCGGTCTCATCGTGCTGATAGACATTCCAGCTGGTATAACCAACCTGACTGCTGCACCTGTCTTGATATTGGAGGTTTGCCTAGAGTTTGGAGTTTGGCTTGTTCTTGTGAGCTGTGGCAGGCTGGAGCAGCTCATTTCGCTGCTGGCCTCAGTCTCCTTACCTGGAAAATGATTGCAAAGAATCTCTTTTCCTTCAAAATTCTCTGCTTTATATCACTTGCGTGTTTGCTCATTTGACACAAAAATTCTTGGGTTGGAAAAAAAAGCAAAGTGAAGACTTTCAGTTTTCAATGTGCTTTTTCATAATGCCTTTTTTTTTTTTTTTCTAGTCTAGGCACTGTCCTTGAGCTCCTTTTGCTTAAGGCTAGCATTCTACCACTTGAGCCACAGTGCCACTTCTGGCTTTTTCTATGATTTAATTGGAGATAAGTGTCTCACAGACTTCCTGCCTAGGATGGCTTTGAACTGCAATCCTCAGATCTCAGCCTTCTGAATAGTTTAGGATTACAGGCATGAGTCACCAGCACCTAGCTATAATGCTTTTCTTAACTGGAAACAGTGACTGAACTCACATTATACCATGATGGAATTTTATCTTTCATTAAAAACATCGAAGAATATTACTTAAGGTGAAAGAACTATTAAGTGACTACAAACTGTATTGAGAGAACACATTACTCTTAAGCTGAGAGAGAGGGAAAAATGCATATTCCAGAGGATGGAGTAGACTTCATTAATTATACATGTCTTTGGATCAGTATAGAAAAATTTTGTAGAATACTAAACAATGATCAGAGGGACTAGAGCTATAACAAGAGAGGGGATCCACTAGCAGGACAGAAATGGAGTGACATTAAGAGCCCAGGGAAGGGGCCACTTTCATTGGAGGGTAACAGGCTCTTTGGTAACTGTCAAAGAGGTATCCAGCTTTGGGTTGGCAAGACAGAGTGAGAAGGAATAAGGAAAAAGTGGGGTGGGAATGGAGAATTAGTTTACTAACTACTTGGTAAGGAGTTTGTTACCTTGCCTGAGTACCAGTCCCAACTCACACAGACAACAGGCTGGAGACAAAGCCAGAGATGATGATCAGGCTCGTTAGCAGGCTCTGTTTCGAGATCTTCTCAAATTGTGAGACTGACATATCTCCGTTGCACCAAGAGGATAGCTATTACCTGGCTTATGTAACTGTAGCCCCTCTGTAATCACCTTTACAATAAAAAAGAAGAAAATAGGTATTTTTATCTGTATTTTAAAGTGGACAAAAGCTCTAAATGTGGTCTCTTTGAGTGTACTAATAGATACATTATTTTGATAAAGATATAGATTACAAAAAAGAAAAGGGAAAGAACTCTCTCAAGTATTAAACCTCACCTTGACTCTCTAGATTCAACTATTCTTGTTCAGGAAGGAAGTGGAAACATGATACAATGGTTTTCTAAGGCCAAGTAGCTAGTAAATCCAATGAAGACAAGAAGAGGTGGACAAGTGTTGGAGCAAGCTTGATACAATAGTGCTTTAAAACCTGTGGCCGTTCCCAGGCCTTCCTCTTCTTCTTTTGTGTTGGTTTATGTCCCTCAATCTCTTCCCCTTCCTCCTACTCCAAGAAATGGTCTCCTTTGACAATGCCTTTTGAGCACAGTGCAATGGAGAAGTACAGCAACATTGAAGGGCCAAAAGCGTAGGACACCAGGCCTGGGTGGAATGGGCGAAATAGCAGAAGGCAATGAATGAAAAGAAGAAAGAGGAGATTTAAAGGCTCGACTTGCAGGACCTACATATCTCTCCCCAGAGCATTTACGTTGTTTTAGAATGAGTTCACTTGTTACCAGATGATGTTTTAGAGCACTTCTCTCTGATTGGATCATGTAAGTCAATTGTTTGTAAGCATTTCACATAGAAGTCATCTTCCAAATTACACCATGAGTGCAGTCGAAATTAGAGGGCACACTTTTGATTTTGAGACTTGATGGAGAGAGCTTCTTAAAGAAAATAATTGCAGTACTGCTTGCTGAGGCATTCCTGATGAGCATTTTTAAGTGGCTGCTTCTGATGTTACATAGTATCTGATCCTACTTTAAGTAAAATTCAGTCAGGCATTTGAATCATCTGCACAATGTATACAATGTTGTGGGCTTAATTACTGCTTGAGAATATTCTGCGGTGCAGAAATGAAGCTCCACAGGATATCCACATAGAGCCCATAGATGTGGATACACCATAGACTTGGCTTTGGTTATACTATAGAATATTCTGGATCAGGCATAGACAGGTGCACTTATTTCCCTCCATTGTTATATCTGAATTGTTTTTACCCATGAGAGGAAAGAGAATGCATAGCTCTCATGTTGAAATGTGATGTAGCAATAATGTTTAATAAAAATATAGCCAGACTTCTTTTCATATAAATATTCTAAATAATAAATTCAACCTGCACCCCTCCACTCTATAAATCGTCAAATAAAGCAGAGTAAATAAAGTAGAGAACATTGTCAGAGCTCCCCATCTTGACACTTGTACTTTAATCTAGGGGGAATATACAAGTATACATTTTTAATAGTCTTCTAGTATTTAATTCTCGTAATTGAGAACTTTCTCTTCAAGGGAGAATTCAAAGTATTATCAGTACAGCCGTAATAAGACTCACATTTGAAACCTCTTTGAGGACTTCCATAGCAAATTCAATTACTCGGAAGAAGAAATGACTGGAAACAAGATGATCTGAAACAAATGTGCAGTGTAGCTGTCATTGGAACTGTAGTGAGGCACCCAGCGGGGGCAAGATGACATGGAACGAGGAAGTTGGGATGGATATTGTTCCAATTTCTTAAAAACAAAAAACAAAAACCTCTTCTTTCTTTCCCTTAGTGTTTTTTGCACATTATTTTTGTAGAGTTTTGACAGCAGATCTGTTGGGAGAGCTTTATCTTATCTCTGTAGTGTGGTTTTGACTTTTAAGTTCCTGTGGACAGGCTGGGAATCCATCATCCATGGTCAGGGCCTTTTCAATGCTTGAGAAGATTCTTAGATGAGGCATTGCTCC